GGCAAAATATTTGTACAATTCATTCGTATAACCGTCGTTTCCTGGAGATTTGTTAAGAGGGAGTGTTTTGGTGATATTTTCTATTTCTATGATAGATATCGGAGTAGATATAGCGTCAAGTTGGGATGGGGAGAGTTGGGGGAGTTTGGTTGTGTGAAGAAATTGTTGTATGGATGTAAGTGTTGGTTGGATTGTGTCAGGATCATTTTTAAGATTATATAGTTGTTGGTAATAAGTTGCAAAGACGTTAGCTATTTCTCGTGGATTTGTGGTTAAAGTATGTGTGGTAGGGTGATGAACTGAAGGTATTTTGGCTTTTAGGCGTCGCTGTTTAATCATTTTGGTTAATAAGAGTTAGCTTTGTTGCTCATGGAGTAGAATTTAGCTTTCATTTTTTGAAGATTGAGGTTGTATTTATAAAGTAGGAGGGTTCTGAGTTTGTTTCTATCTGTGGTGAGGGAAGTAGAGTTTGAGGGGTCTGGGGATGTTTTGTTTAATTCTTCTTTTGTTTTAATTGACATGAGAAGTTCATCTATTTTGTAAGTGGAATTTCTTTGTTTCTTTGTTTAGAGATGCGGGCGTTTAGTTGAATAAGAATACCTCTCATGTATGCCTTATAGGTAGATCATAGTATAGGTATAGAAATATCAGGTGATTCATTCATTTAAAAAAACAGGGTATGAGCGTTTAGTATAAGTTTTCTGTGGTCTGGATTCTTCAGTTCAATCGCCATATTCGAGGTTGAGTTCAATCACCATATTCGAGGGATCAAAGAATGTTGATGGTGGTCAAGAGTGATGGAAATTGGAGCGTGGTCCGACCATGTTATGGTGCCGATCTTGGAGGAGGTGATATGTTGTAAGGTCCACTTGTCTGTGATAAAAAAGTCAATTCTGGAATAGGAGAGGTGAGCCGGAGAATAATAGGTGTAGTTTTTTCTGTACCATGTTGGCATGTCGTAGAGGTCGTTATTGTGTAGAAAACGGTTAAAAGTATGTTTAAAAGGAGCGTTTACTGGAAGAAGAGTCCAGGAGTGGGGTTGTTTATGATGTTGAAGTTGAATTCTCCTGCTAGTAGTAGTCTGCCTTGTCTCTGGGTAGTAGTGATTGTGATTAGTTTGTTGTAAAATTGGAGTTGGTTGGTATTTGGTCCATAGACATTGACCAGGGTATATAGGATTTCGTTGATCTTGCATATTAAGATATGGTAGTGGCCTTGTGGATCTGCTAATTTTGAGATATATTGGAATTGGAGGGAGTCTTTTATGGCGGTGATGACGCCGTTCTTTTTCTTGGAGTTATGGTTGCCATAAATATTGATGAGAAGTGGTGTAGGTTAAATTTGGGAATTTTGGAGTAGGTAAAGTGGGATTCTTGGAGGAAAAGAACATCAGTTTGCAGAGAGCGACTTCTTTTTGTGAAAGTAGAGATCTTTTGTAAGGAGAGTTGAGGCCTCGGACATTCAAAGATGATATGCTAATCATATTGTTGGGTATGTACGGGTTGCATGGAGTAAAAGGGATAATTCGTAAGTTGTGTGGCAAGTTGAATATTTCTTTATTCATGTATGCAAAGCTTCCATAGAGAAGAAGTAGTGATCTTGATATGTTCACTGGTCTGAAGAAGTTATTTCCGCTTGTAGTAGGGGTATTCGATGGAAAGGAGGTTGATGTGAGCGACTGGTGTAATGAGGTGGTAGGGGGTTAAAAAAAACTTGTGAAAAATACAAGTAACATATGTAGCAGATGTTGCTACTGTGTAACGGGGGAACAGTAACATACATCACTCAAGAAATGAGTCATGTTGACAAAAAAACTTGAAGTTTAGAAATGATTGGTTAGGGGCCGTCTGTCAGCCTTTAGTGGTTTTGAAATGATACCCAGTGTGTCGGGTAGTAAATGGTGTTAGAAATTTTTGGTTCAGGACCATTCTGCTTCCATCTGTTGTGGTCGGGTTGAAGTGGATTGGTGGGAGTCCACGGGTAGGATATTCCATGTCTTCAGGAGTTCTATGCCTGCTTCTAAGTTTTTGACCGTGTAGAGCCTTCCTTGATGCTTAACGATGAGCTTCGTAAGGAAACCCCATTGGTAGCAGATACCATGGTTCCGCAGCGCTTTGATTATGGTAATAAGTTTCTTGCGGTTGAGAAGTGTAGCTTTGGATAAATCCGCAAACAATTTTATATTCGCCTGAGAAGCCGGAATTGAGGTAGGGTTTCTAGCTGCCGTCATGATTTTTTCCTTCACGTGGTAGAAGTGCACACGCGCTAGGATATCTCTGGGTATTGCAGCCGGTAGGAACGATGGTTTTGGTATCCTATGTGCGCGGTCTATGGCAAGTTCCACGTCTGTTAGGGAAGGAATGAGGTGTTTCATGTATTGCTGGATGTAAGGTACTATGTCACCTGTAGTGATAGTTTCTGGTATTCCAGAATTTAATATTGTTGCACCTGGAGCGGTCTTCTAGGTCTGCCAATTTTAGGTTAATTTGTTCTATGTCAGCTCCATTGGCTGTGTGGGCGTCTATGAGGTCATTGTGTGCCATGAACAATTCCCCCATTTTGTTCTCAATATGGCGAATGCGTCGGTCCTGATTTTGTACCGCGGATGAGATTTGCGATATAGTTGCTGTCAGGTCGTCATGTAGTGTTTTGTCGCAGGGATAATAGCATACTTTTCATTGAAATTTCAGTGATAGGATGGTCAGAAGCCGGAAAGTTTTCAATTAAGGATGGAGTAGAAATGGCAGTAATAGTAGGAGAGAAGAAGGTTGCAGGCCAGAATCAGATAGTATGTCCAGTCTGGGTCTGGACTTAGCGGACTACTTGTAGAAGAGACAGGGGCAGAGAGGACTCACCCGGTCTCTTGGGTATAGTGGTGCCTTGAGCCTGGGGTCCGTGTGCTGCGCTGTGTCTCCCTCCATGTTTGTGTGAGAGACTGTCAACAGAAGAGCGGCGCCATCTTGGATGCAGGGGCTGAGAGCAGGGAAGAAGCTTGTCAGTTCCCTGGCTGCCCTGGTGATCTGCGACGTTGGGACATGGTCCGGAGGATGGTAAGAGCCCTGTATCCCCTTATGTCTCTGGGGAGAGGCTGAGGTGTGTCTGGGTCCGGTGTGTGCCGCGGTTAGGCTGACGGCGGGATGGAGCTCTCACTCACGAGCTGTCATCCCGGAGCCGGCCGCGCATGCGCCCCTTCTGGGTTATTTTATGATCTCCTGGAGGAGTCATTGTTGTGCTCTTGGAGTAATTTTGGTAGGTTAGCTTCTCCTGGGAAGGTTCATCACTATTCCAAGTTTTCTCCATTTGTGGATAATGGTTCTCACCATCGTTTGCTGGAGCCCCAAAGCCTTAGAAATAACTTTGTAACCCTTTACAGACTGATACATGTCAATTACTTTGTTTTTCATCTGTTCTTGGATTTCTTTAGATCACAGCATGATGTGTTGCTTTTTTAGATCTTTTAGCGTGCTTCACTTTGTCAGTCAGTTTCTATTTAAGTGATTTCTTGATTCAGCAGGTCTGGCAGTAATCAGACATGGGTGTAGCAAGTGAAATTTAACTCAGTTTTCCCAAAACAAATGGGGTTAATCACGGTTCATTTACAATTTAGCAATGAAGGGGCAGTTACTTTTTCACATAGGCCTAAGCAGGTTTGGACAGCTTTTTTCCCTCAATAAATGAAATCATCATTTTAAAGCTGCACTTTTTTTTTTTTGTGGTATTAAAATTTGTTTGATGATCTGAATCATTTAAGTGTGACAAATATGCAAAAAATAAATCAGGAAGAGGGCACATACAATTTCACAGCACTGAATGGCCAGCTTTAGAAGATATGTCCTTACCAAATATTTGCTGATTTAAAGTGGTTGCAAACCTCAAAACTGAAATAAGCATATTTATAGTGTGTACTTGTCTTAATTAAAAGCAAAACATGTCATTTCCATCTGCTGCTTCATTAATATGCTATGAGCATGAGTCATTTCTTACAGGGTTTCCTGGCATCAAGAGAAAAATGGTGACAGGGGAGGAAGCTCCAGCAGATTGACAGCCTCAACTTTGTTCCTATGAGCTGTGTGGAGGAGGGTGTGGCTCTTCCCTCCTATCAGCTCTCAGAACTCTCCTCACTGAGCTCTGCAAATTGTAACTTCAGCTCTCTGCCCCTTTTTTTCTGAACTCTAAGACAAGCTTTATAAATCCTGGACTTTCAATGTATGTAGAGAAGAGAAGAATGCAGATAAACGGTTACAACTTTGTAGGAGGATTTGTTTTTAAACTCTGTGTATCACCCAAGGCCAGTCACTTCACTGGGTATATGTAAGGGTTTACAACCACTTTAAAGCTATCAAGCTATCAAAACATTGAACACAACCTTCATTTTGGAATAGATAAAAAAAACTGTGGAAATGGTTATTTGATGTTTTTAAAAGGTAATGTTAAAAGAAATGTTAAAGCTACTTTCTAGTTCTATGTGGTGTTTTTCTTTAATTTGCAATGGTTTAAAAAAAAATGACCTCATCCCCTAACTGCAAAAGCTCTTACTGATACTTATCTCTGTCCCAACATTTTGGTAAGCTGCCATTTCCTTTTTTTAAACAATGTAATGGAATTAAACAATGTAATTGTGTTTAATGGCAAGCTTTTACATCTAAATGGAAATGTTATCTCCATTTCTGCAGCTGGTCTCCTGAGCAAATTTGTTGTCTGTGCCAACCCTACTTCAACATCTTTGGGAGTTAGTTGGGGTTGTGCCCCACTATTAACAGATAAGAAGGAGGAGAGGCTGCACACAGCTCCAGTCTGCATTACTCCATAATTGTATACCTGTGGTATGAAATTCCCATAAACAGCATTTGTTTTATTAAAACATTGTTTTCTGAATTTTCATTGAGATACACTATTTGTTATGTGTTGCATTTGCTTCCTTTTATAATTTAACATTATTAATCATTTCTAATTGGCAAGCTGGTAATTCTTAACTACAGGCTTTTAATTGTTGACCTTCAATGGATCAAACAAATGGAACATTATTGGAACACTTTGTTCTTAAAGGATTTCCTGGTAATCATGTACTACAGAAAATCATATTTGTAGCACTGTTGGTGGCCTACCTTATTACAATGGCTGGAAACCTCCTAATAATTGTTATCGTTTATAGTGATCATCGTCTTCACTCTCCTATGTACTTATTCCTAGTGTGCTTGTCATTTACTGACCTACTTATGGTTTCCTTTGTGATTCCTAAGTTGCTAGCAGTCCTTGTTGAAGAAAAGACTATTTCTAAAATGGGTTGCTTCATACAATCCTATTTATATTACTTTATAACCACTGCAGATATCCTAATTTTAACTGTAATGTCCATAGATCGTTTTGTGGCTATCTGTTACCCCCTCAGATATTCCTATATTATGAGGAATAGTATTTGTATAAAACTAGTAATTGGTTGCTTCATTACTCCATTTTTACTTCTTTTGTACCCCACAGTAACTATACCTAATTTTCCATTTTGTGGCCATGTGGTGGACCATTTCTTTTGTGAGAGCACAGCTATACTAAAGCTGGTCTGTGTAGATATAAGTTTACTTAAACTGAATACAATCCTTACATCAGTGTTAATTTTGATTGGATGTTTGACAATTACTACAATATCCTATTTTTTCATTGTGATCACTGTAATAAGAATGTCAGATACAGGAAGACAGAAGACCTTCTCAACATGTCTGTCTCACCTCACCATGCTAGCATTGGTTTTCGGTAGTGCCATATTCATTTTCATAAGGCCCCCTAATGACTATGCTGTGGAAAAAGACAAAATCGTGAACTTGATAAGCACTGTTATTTCCCCTTTACTAAACCCTTTTATTTACACAATACGAAATCAGACTGTGAAGGGTTGCATTCGAGACGCTACAGAATGTTCAAAAATGTTTAGGTAACCAGGAAAGATTGGTCTTCATATAGCTTTGTGCATATAATTGTTGTATAATTTAGGATTTGCTGCATTATGAATACGGATAAGGTTCAGGTTCTCCAGTAGCATTGTATTGAGGTGAAGCATTTGGGTTCCAGTTTCACAAATCCAGAGATTTTTGTGCAAATTCACTTGTAAGAAATTCAAACCAAATGCCTTGGATAACTTTTGAACTATGGATAGCAAGAAGCCAATAAAAGGGCCGGTAAGGGGGAATTTTTGGGAAGCCCTTTCCCCTCATTAAAACTGTCCTGATGCTGGCCAATTTTACATTGCTGTATCATCTGCAGTCTCTTAATTCTTAAAGCTGAACTAAAGGCAGTAAAACTTACCTCTGTTCCAACTGTCCCACATCCTCAAGATCTGACATCTTCTCCCTGGCTTCTTCCATTTTCTGGTCTTCATCCAACTTGATTGGCTGATACAGGATGACGTTACTCCCATGCATGCACAGGATTGCAGTCATACCGGACTACAAGCAAATTGGCCAGCTGCAAGACAATATTGCATCAGCAGAAACAAGGACAGCCACAGCACACTATTAGCCAATTTCTGTCTGTCAGACAAAGCACTGATGAAAAAGCATATGTCATTGCTAAAGATACATAAAAAAAAATCTTTTTCCAAATTGAAATGAATCAGATTGCAGTGCTGCTGCTGAAAGTAGGGCAATATAATTATAAAAGAAAACAAGCCTACAGGCTGTCCTTCCTTGTAGACTGTAGAACAGTGGAGGTTCCTCTTTCCAGCTCCCAGCCTGTAGGTAGACCCCCTCCTCTGGGGACCCCTTGCAGGCTCCACACCAGCAGCACTTCCTCACTCCATCATCCACCCGACTCCCCTGCTGACCATGCTCTGTCATATTTAGGGGTTGTATATGAAAAAACAAAAAGAGGGCGCATGGCCTAGTGCATTACCTTTAAAAACTAGATTTATTGATAAAAAGTAAAATACTCACAAAGGAATAAAATCAAATGAAGGGCATGTCACAAGAAATGCAGCGTGGTCCAGTCACCCTGAAGGATGTCTGGTGGGGGACTGTAGACCTCTAGCTGGCTGTTGGCTGACGCGTGTCAAGGCTGTGCTTCTTCCTCAGAGCCAATCTGAGGAAGAGGCACAGCCTCGACATGCGTCAGCCAACAGCCACCGAGAGGTCTACAGTCCCCCACCAGACATCCTTCAGGGTGACTGGACCATGCTGCAGTTCTTGTGACATGCCCTTCATTTGATTTTATTCCTTGTTCAAACTTTTTATTGGGTAACAGAGATTAGTTACATGCAGCGAAGTACTACAAGTAGTACCATATATATCAAGTAAGGAAATTTGAGAGAGAGAGAAAACAGGTGGCGCACACACCTAGTGCATTATCCAAGGTTTATTGTAGGAATTAAATCATAAAAACATACTCACAGACGAAGCATGTATCTAAAAAGCATAGAAAAATGACAATGGCCACAACGGCAGGCAAGGTGTTCTCACTGTCAGTGCGGTCAAATGGCTGACGCGTTTCGGGGACGAATCCCTTTCCTCAGAGCTGATGACCAACCTGTATGGAGGTCAAGTAGTAAATAAATAACCAGGGCTAGATGCCTTGGGAGCAAAGCTCCACCTCCTCTACTTGTTATAAGATGAGGGGTTGGAGGGGGTTATTTAAAGTGCAATATTTTGTAGTTTTTTATAAACACATATACATACATATATACACATGCATATACACATATACAAAGAGATATGCATGCACTAAGAAACAAAGCAAAATAAAAAATTATTAAAAATACATGAATATAGCACCTGCAAATGTAAATAAATAGAAAACATTTTTTTTTTTTTTTAAAAATAAAATATATAAAAAAAAAAAAATAATAATGTATATGAAAATAATCATAGTAGTAACACTGGCAATGATGATAAAAATAATGTTAGTAAACATCATAAAAATAAAAGTAATAAGACTAGTGGATAATGGATGATTATCAGTTCAAAGTAATGAGTGTGGCTGTAGACCATATATATCTCTTCAAACGTGAAGCGGTGAGCAAACTGTCAGCACTGTGTGAGTGCTGTGTAGTGATATTGGACTGTTGTTGGGAAGAAAAAAAAAAAAAAAAATTGGGAACATTAGAAAACATAAAATAAAGAGTGTGTGTATGGGTAAATGAATGACCTTTCGCACTGACAGTGAGAACACCTTGCCTGCCGTTGTGGCCATTGTCATTTTTCTATGCTTTTTAGATACATGCTTCGTCTGTGAGTATGTTTTTATGATTTAATTCCTACAATAAACCTTGGATAATGCACTAGGTGTGTGCGCCACCTGATTTCTCTCTATCCAGTGGCTGATTTCCCCGTCTGAGGAGGGCTGCACCCCTGGAACATTTCCTTTTGGTTGTCGCTGTCCTGGTACCCTTGGCTTCCCTTTTGGCTGTGCATATCCTGAGGCGCTGGAGAGTACATACGCTATCCGGTAAGGAAATTTGAGGCTCAGGGCCGTTAACAACTGTATGGTTACAACAACTGTGTGCACTGAATAAAATAACCAAACAAACGAGAAAAAGAAGAAATGAAGAAGGAAGCGTGAGGAGTAGAGAATAGTAGAAAAAAAATGGGGGGGAGAGAAAGGGGGACGGATGGGTGTGTGACTACCAGGATGGGGGGGAGGGGGAGCGATACCATATCAGAGCTCCGAAGCTCTATCGAGGAAGGGATGCGTTAAGGAAGGAGTAGTGACTCGTCAAATCCTTGAGGAAGGAAGTGGTCAACCCAGGGAGACCAGGTCAATAAAAATTTGGAAATTGTGGAAATTGTGTCGGTGACAGTGGCCTCTAATTTAGCGTGTATCATCGACTGCATCACTGAGTTCTGGACCGCCTGTATACTAAGCGAGGGGGGTTTCCAGGATTTTGCTATGATTTGCTTAGCGGAGGTTGTGCTTTGCAAAAAAAGCTTAAACTAGGTTTTAGAAATAGAAGGGAGGCGATGGTTGAGAAGGGCGAATTCTGGAGTTGGTATAAAGGGCTTTTGAAAAAGGGTGGATAATATGCGGAAAATATCTTCCCAGAAAGAGTGGGCTATTGGGCAAGATCACCAAATGTGGAGGTATGTACCATTCACCGCACAGCCACGAAAACAGTCTTCAGAGCTCAGCTGCAAGGATAAGTCCGTCTCCCACCTGGTGACATATGAGGGACAAAAGGAAGGTATGGGGGTTGAGAGTTGAGCATAAATAATCTTTTTTACATGCATTTTCAAAGGGGGTCATTTATCTAACCGATCTGTTGGGGTCCGCCAAGGCTCGGTCCTCGGGCCCCTTCTCTTCTCCATCTACACCTCCTCCCTCGGCAAACTGATACATTCCCACGGCTTCAACTATCACCTCTACGCCGATGACATGCAAATTTACCTCTCCACCCCTCGCCTCACTCCTTCAGTCTCCGCCCGTATTACCCACCTACTGAACGACATATCAGACTGGATGTCGCTTCATTTCCTCAAATTGAACCTTTCCAAAACCGAGCTCCTGATTTTCCCCCCAGCCCGTGCCCCCCACCCTCTCCATCATGACCAACAACGCCACCATCAGTCCCACCCCACAAGCCAAAGTCCTAGGTGTCACTCTAGACTCAAACCTGTCCTTCCAACCCCATATCCAATCGTTGGCAAACTCATGCAGGCTCCACCTCCGCAACATCTCCAAAATACGTTCGTTCCTAACCCCAGACACTACTAAACTACTCGTTCACTCCCTTATTATCTCACGTCTGGACTACTGCAACTCCCTTCTCACAGACCTACCTCATCGCAGACTATCCCCGTTTCAGTCTATTCTGAACTCAGCGGCCAGACTCATCCACCTTACCAACCGCTCCGCATCTGCCACCCCCCTCTGTCATTCCCTTCACTGACTCCCGATTGCCCAACGCATTAAATTCAAACTACTAACACAGACATACAAAGCCATTCATAACGCTGCCCCAACTACATCACCGACCTGATACCCAAATACCACCCTACCCGTAATCTTCGCTCCTCACAAGACCTCCTACTTTCTAGCTCCCTGGTCTCCACCTCCCACGCCCGACTGCAAGACTTCTCCAGGACTTCCCCCATCCTCTGGAACTCACTACCCCAATCCATCAGACTGTCACCTACCCTCCTCACCTTTAGGCGCACCCTGAAAACCCATCTCTTCAGGGAAGCCTACCCCTCCCTCACCTAACAGCCAATCTCCTCCTACCACTCCATCCCCCACAGCCACTTCCTCCTGTACCACTATCCCCTCCCTCCTAGATTGTAACCTCGAAAGAGCAGGGCCCTTGACCCCCTCGTGTATTGTATTGTTACTGTATTGTCTCATGTACTGTCCCCAACTATATTGTACAGCGCTGAGCAAACCTTTTAGCGCTATATAAATACTGTATAATAATAATAATAATAGTCCTTGTTATCTAGTTTTGAGAACCCACAGTGAGCTTGTGATATTGATAGTCATTCCTGCATTCAATAGTCTCTCTCAGACTGGAGGCAGTGGATTATTTCTGAAAGCAGGC